TCTTGTCAACAGTTAGAAAGTTTGGCGCAAACACCGACTGGCCTCAAAGCTCGATCACTAAAAGGGCTGAAAATGCATGAAGTTCATGCTCTCGCCGCTGAAGCTCAGACAGTCCGGGCGTCTCGAACGACGGAGAGCGCCTCTCCGACCGCAAACCATTCATGCGTGGAGGGCCCCGGTGTACGCTTGCCGCCAAGTGCTCAAAAGACGTTGGTATTGGACCCGTGCGCAGATGGTGCGCTCGAGCCGACAACGAAGAAGGAAAAGCGAGTTGAATCGGGTAGTAAAGTGTCAAGGGCTCGCGAGACTTCCTCACATCTCGAATCGGTCATTGTGTGCGATGGGTTCTGGACGACTGAGGCGAAGTCCCAATCTGAGCTGGCTTCAGAGGAGACAGAGCGTGACTCGTTTAACAGTGACGAAAAGAGAAAGAAGAAGCGCATCCCGCGTGTGAGCATTTTGGACTTGAGCTGATTTTTGCCCACTACAAAGTTAACTTATTGGCACTCAAATTGGGGTGTTCAGGCGTCCATGGGGATACCAAGGATATTGGGGTCTAATCTACGGTTCATTGGGTGTTGGTTGTTCTCATTTGGCTCTATAATTTACGTACATATCACTTCGTAAAACACACACGTCGCAGTATTTGCGACGATGAAAGAAATCATAATAAGATTGTGAGAGTATCTTCAAGCAAGCAACAGTGGAAGCGCCCATCGACGGGGGAATTTGAAACAATGATTGCGGATATCCCATCGTATATGACCATCCCAGTCTATAGGGAATCCAAGGTGTCTATCTTTGTAGACCTGTCAAGGAAAAGCAACGAATCGATGTATAGAGTGGTATAAAGATGAGCTACACGAGAACAGTGAATAAGGGCATCAGGGGAAAATTAAGAGGCCTGACCTCGGCATTCCTAGGAAAGAGGTATATGTCTATCAAGGTCGAATCGAAAGAGCGAGCAAAGTTAACCGAAAACTTTCAGGAACCCCCACAGCCCAATTCCACTAAGAACTGGGATAGTGAAGTTATCGTCCCAGTTGAACAGGTCCACGAACTCGCTTCCGGCGGCAATAATACCGGAAACAACACTCATGACACCCAGTGCCAACGGGCCGGAGATGACCCCGCACGAGGAATCAGAATCGGCGGTCCAACCAAGGAGACCCCTGATCGAATCCGGGAGTAGATTCAGACGGCCGGTGAACATGAACGAGCCCTCGGGATCGTTGGGAAACGTCCCGACGTAGGGTACGAACCAGCCCCAGAAGGCAGCGGCGGTGACGACGCCAACGACCCAGGCGGCCAGGGTTCCAGCAAAGCTCTTGCCCGCGCGCAGTTGGAACGTGCGCCGGCCGTAGAGACGGCCGAAGGTGGAGGCTGCGGTGTCGCACCAGCTGAGGAGCAGGACACCCATGACCGCAACGTCCTTGGGGAAGAAACGCAGAACGGAGTATGCGCCTAGCAGGTACCAGATCACGCCGTTGTAGCCCGACACTTCTGTTTCCCGCATGAGCGCGCCAACGCAGCGAATGTAGAGCTTATTGAAAGTCTCGGAGCGATGGCGGATAATGTCTGTCGCGGCGATGGGGACGAGAGCGGAGAGCAGCCATGGGGTGATTTGAAGAGTTTGGACGCCTCGGCTATACAGATAAAGGGTAAAGAAGCCGATGGAGCCATGGAGGAGCTTGCGCGGTATCTCATGACGATGGATGAAGCTGCGGTAACGAGTGTGGAGAGGGATCAAACCCAAAGGTGAGGGTGAACGAGAGATGTCGTGCGCGCGGCCTTTGCCCAAGGCGGAATTGGGGGACAGGAAGTCGGTGGGCGATATGCGGCCGTTGGTTTTTAAAGGCTCCGGCTTCCTGGCCGGTATCATGGGATTCGATCGCCGCGTGCGAGTTGAACGAGCAGGAGCTGCTGGGCTGCGACTGCGAGACCTAGTCGGCGACCGACTTGGGTCCGTATCCACATCTTCGCTTCTCTCCTCGGATACATCTACCAGACGTTGGCGTCGCGCTGCCGACCGAGTCCTCGGACCGGTATAATCATCTCGTGAGCTTGACGCACTCGATGGTACAGGCGAAGGAGATATGACTCGGGGAGTTGCCGGGACCTCGTCGGTAGAAGAGGAGGGCATTTCGACCGCTCTTACAGCGAAAGGCGGAAGGGCCGGAGCCGGTATCAGCCCGGACAGAGGTCGCAGGCGCAGGTAGTTATAGTCGCAGACGAGCGTGTCAAGAAGGAGAAATCTGTCAGCTGCAAACGACGCAATGATGGGCAACTAGATGATGAACGAGGTGTGTGTGTGAAAAGGAAAGCTGGTTTATCGCGTGAGACGTTGGCAAAGACCCAAGGCAGAAATGCGGCTGCGCATGCTTCAGTAAATTTAGAGAGAGATCGGCATGGTCACTAGACCAGCAAAAAAGACAGCAGTGACAAATGAATATCCGGGAAAATAGCAGCACTGGGTAGCTACACCAAAGCAATTGCAAATCTGGATTTTCTTATTCGAGTATTTTTGTGTTCATCGTTGCATTTTCCCTTCGATTTTTTCTGTCTGGCTTGTGTGATTCCGCCCGAATCCGCAGGCGATCACGTGTAAACTGGCAGAAAATGCTCACCGCCTCAATATCTAATCGGCGATCTTTTGATAAGCTATTTTTTTTCTGCCATCAGTCTGGGCAATCGTTGCTGATCGTCGGGTCGAATTGAAGGCTCGATTCTGCACTCGGCTGCTATCATGGCTCCAAAACCACCTTCAGGCACTTCGTCCAGAGCCTGGGATGCAGTGACACCAGCCCTGTCAGAATGGGTGTTAGAGGCAATGTCCTCCATGGGCTTCACCCGGATGACCCCAGTGCAAGCATCCGCTATTCCTCTGTTCATGGCGCATAAGGATGTCGTAGTGGAGGCAGTCACTGGCAGCGGAAAAACGTTGTCTTTTCTGATCCCAGTGGTGGAGAAGCTTTTGCGTCTCGAAGAACCCATCAAGAAACATCATATTGGAGCCATCATCATCTCACCAACAAGGTAGGCATTGATCTTAGGGCACGCGGCAGCCAGAACCGTGGAAGAAAGCTCGATGCTGACTCTGTGATTAGAGAACTTGCATCACAGATTTACAATGTACTATCATCATTACTCGCCTTCCATCCTCCTTCAGCCGCTGCGATAAACCCCTCAGAAGATGACGATGCGCCTCGACCTAAGTTCCCTTCTTCTACTCTCAGAGTCGTTCCGCAGCTCCTCCTCGGCGGTTCGACCACGCCTGCAGAGGATCTGAGTACATTCCTGAAGCGGTCACCGAATGTGTTGGTCTCCACGCCTGGACGGCTTCTGGAATTGCTTTCTTCCCCTCACGTCCACTGTCCTCAATCCTCGTTCGAGATGCTGGTTCTTGACGAGGCCGATCGGTTGCTAGATCTGGGATTCAAGGAGACCTTGCAGAACATCCTGCGCCGCCTTCCTAAACAAAGACGAACGGGCTTGTTCAGCGCCAGTGTTAGCGAGGCCGTTGACCAGATTGTGCGAGTTGGTTTGCGAAATCCAGTCAAGGTCATGGTCAAGGTCAAGGGTGGCTCAGGCGTTGACGATAAGCGGACTCCAGCTAGGTTGGTACCTCTCTGCTTTATTCTTAATAGTGATCTAACTCGATTGTACCAGTCTGCAAATGACCTATCTTACGACACCGCCCTTACATAAATTCGCTGCTTTGAAACATATCCTTTCTTCAGTTCAACCAACTCCCTTGAAAACGATTTTCTTCGTCTCTACCTGTTCGGGTGTCGATTATCTGTCCGCAATCCTCCCACTGCTGCTCGGTGACGATTTCCTGTTGATTCCACTGCACGGCAAACACCAGGCAAATGTCCGCCAAAAGAACTTCAACCGCTTCATTAATTCGCACGATCCCGCCATTCTTCTCACCACCGATGTTGCTGCGCGTGGATTGGATATCCCGTCCGTCGATCTTGTTGTCCAGATTGACCCTCCATCAGACCCGAAGTCCTTCATTCATCGATGCGGTCGTGCTGGAAGAGCCGGCCGGAGGGGTCTGAGTGTGGTACTTTTGCATCCCGGACGAGAAGAAGATTATGTTTCTTTTCTAGAAGTTCGAAAAACACCTGTTGTTCCATTCTCTCCATCGATTACTTTCTCCGACGCTGATGCGCGCGCTGCCACCGCCACTGCCCGTAAGGCTGTGTTGGCTGATCGTGCGCTGCATGACCGAGGCCAAAAGGCGTTTGTTAGTTGGTTCAGAAGCTACAGCAAGCACCAGGCAAGCAGTATCTTCCGTGTCGCTGACCTTGATTGGGAATCTTTGGGCCAAGCATGGTGTTTGTTGAAATTGCCTAAGATGCCTGAGCTGAGGAACTTCACCGGTGACAGGACACTCGGCGTGAGCCTTGACTGGGACAATTACGCATACAAAGACAAGCAAAGGGAAAAACGACGGAAGGAGCTTCTCCAGGAGGCCGCCGAGTCTGGTGCCCTTCAATCCAAGTCAAATAAGAGACGAGCCAGCGAAAGTGTCGCATGGAGCCAACAAGCCGAGTCGAAGAACAAGAAGCTCAAGCGACGTGAGCAGAAGAAATCGAAGCAAGAGAAGGTCAGATGGGAGAAGATGACGGACGAAGAAAAGCAGAAGGTTCTTGAGACGGAGAAGATGGTTGAGGTGCTGAGGAAGAAGAACGAGGAAGAAAGACGACTGAGACGAGCAGCAGCCAAAGCCGCAGGCACGAAGGCTGATGGTGATGACGACGAAGAATTCCAGGGATTTGATTGAGATACCTCGCATATGTGCACTATATCCGTTGCTTTGGATGACCTTGATACCTGAATTGTATAGCTAAAGCCCTTCCTCAGTAGGGGAGCACCCAGCCTTATACTTCCGTGTACATACAAAACAACTTTTCTGAAAAGCCTTTTCACCCTTCTGAAGATACTTTTGCTGGCCCTGTGACTCCATTTCGACTGATCCATGACCGAATAACTCAACCAATCGTAGAAGACTTCTGGTCCCGGTCAAGAACTATCTGCATTCCCTGGACAGAAGCCCTTCCCTCGGGATCGGACCCTCCAACGTCGTTGGCATGATCTCTCTCATCCTCCTTTCGATCAGCTCTCACCTCCCCGTTTCCCCCATTTGATGCTTCTTCCTCCACTACAGGCCCAGCCTGAACCATCCGCACTTCATCAACCTGCGCGCACTCCGGCACCGCCGCACCATGCCCATCAGCAACCAACCCTCCTCCCGACTCAGCCTGCACTAGCAACGACTGTATCGACAACTCTGAAGAACAAGAGCCCTGCACACTCGCCTCATCCCTCCTCTCCGCATCCCCAGCAGTCCCCAACGAACCCGTGCTCTCCTCCCCCATCGGAAGCAACAGATCCCGAATCGAAATCCCTCCCCCGACAAGACACGGATCAAGAGGCGTCGCCTGCTGCACCGATTGTTGAGATGTCGATGCCAGCTGCGAGCCCCCAAATCCCTGTTGTTCTGGGTATCCCACCAGCCCAACCGTACCCGGTCCACCAATACCCGCGGCCCGGCTGCACAGAGCGCAGAAGCGCTGTCCGACGCCGCGGGCGATGTACCGGATAGGACAGACTTGGATCAGGGGCGTGGGGCTTCCTGCGACAGAGAAGACGCGGACTTGTGGGCAGGGCTGGATGAGCTGGAGGTAGGTGCAGGTGCAAGGGGGTTTATTGGGCATGTAGTAGCACATCACCTATGCCTTGGTGGTTTGTAGATAGAGTTGGTTTCACGACGATGGGGAGGTAATCGGGTTTTATGTGTCTCTGGTGAATTACTGGTGATGAATGGTAGAAGGTGGTAGAGGGAAGGTAAGAGGGATAGAATAGCATATATATGAATCGGATGGCGGCATGCAGCTATTGTCTTGTTCACGCAATTTTCTCTTTGTTCTACCGATAAAGGACGAGTATGGCTTTGTCAAAAGATTGATTCCTTCTCAAGGGTTGAGGCGGTCCTAGCAGACAAGGAACTGAGCATGCCATCAATGGATTATGAAGATCTCAGAATCAAACTCATGCAGGTACCATCACAAACGCAGATCAAATCGGTCAATCGGATGCAGATAGGACAGATGCGGATACTGTTTCCATTGCCAGTTTCAATGCGAAAGCCAAGCTCAAACGCGCCGCTGGCTACAAAAGTAAATCAAAATCTCCTGCTTATGCTACATGCTTCGAGAAGAAAAACAATGATGCACTGGACTCCGCCGGTTGAAAACAAGAGAACAAGACAGATTCGACCTCATAAAGTTCATGGAAGACCGTCACCCGAGCAGGCCTACAAACTCCAGTCTCAACAGGCTGGAGGAGGCCGCTGGAGGTTGCTCAGAGAATGAAACAAAATGCAAAACACAAACGACTTCCGAAATCCCGCAGAAAACACATTGAAACATTGTCAGGGCCCATCCCAATTACATGGAGTAGAAAGGAGGCCAAACAGGCTATGCCCAGTAATCGGAAGATGGAAAACAAGAAAACACAGCAACATAATAATCACACAAACCAAAAGGTATCAAGACAAAGCAAGTCCATTTAGAACCTTTCAACACCCTGATGACATGACTCCAGCCTAGGCTTGAGCTTTCGTAAATTCCTCCACACTTTGATGGAAAGCATGGTGAACTTCGTCCACAGCAGATTCGTCCCACACGCTGGCGACGATCCGCACGATCTCATCATCAACACCCAAGCTCTTCTGAAGAGTATTCGGTTCCGGCCATTTAAGCTGCTGGAGATCTCCAGTTGAGCATTGCTCATAGAGCCATTGAGCATCGCGAGCGAATTGATCATCGTCGCCGAAAGTCTCGACAGGTGGTTGTTGGTTGACAACAGGTGAAGCGGTCAGAGGACTAGAGTAACGACTAGCAGTGCGGAGCCCACTAGGCGTTTTGGGTTTGTACTTTTCGGCCTGAGAACGGACTCTGGCGAGAGCTTCCTGATCAACTCTGCCTGGGGTAGACGGAGGCAACGCTTGGCGTGGAGTGGGACGTGCAGCAGGCGATTGTACACTACACCGCAAAGATCAATTGTTAGATGAATGGCAATGAGGCTTGGGTCGACGGAGTCAGCAAAATACCTTTCTTGTACTTCTGTACTGGTAGTGGTGGTTTGAGTCTCTGAGACAGACTTAGCCGAGGGGGTCTTTGGAGAAGGCGCGCCGCTCGACTCTGAATCATCAGAGAAAGCATCATAATCCAGCTGGAACGTGCCTTGTTTGTTGGGAATGAAACCCGGCGACCGCTGAGTAGACAAATCGACGCGAGCAGCGGGAGTTGGCGTTGCGGGCGCAGCGGCAGGGGAACCAGGCGCTGTCACTTGAGCAGCATCGCCCATGCCGATAAAGTGTCTTCCCGTGTAGGGGTCCGTGGCACGAGGACGCGTGCGAAGTTTAGAAGGAGTATCTTCGGGGCTGGCATCGAAACGCACCCTTTTCGATGGCCCTTGTTCCGAGCGAATAGCACTGCGAACGGCAGATTTCGCTAGAGCATCGGGTTTTGTAGGAGGTACAGCCTGCTGGGGTTGTACATCGGCTTCCTCTTCGCTGTCAGAGCTATAGCAGAAATAATCCAGGTCCAATCCATAGCTGCATCCGGCCGGGTTGGGAATGACATCAGGCGAGGGGGACCGCTTGCGCTTCTTTTGAGTGGCGTCCTCAGTCGTCTGAGGCAAGGCCCGCTGTTCACTGACATCTGTCGTCTGAGAAGTCGATGGAGGTTGGTCCTGTGCCCCAGACGGCTTCTCCGCACCATCAGGACGTGATTCTGCCAGAACGGCCTGGGAGGTTTTCTTAGGAGTAGTAGTCAGATCTCCAAGGAAGCGAGCACGGTCAATCGGAGCCGGGAAGAGGGAATAGGACAAGGTGCGCTGGCGTTTGCTGGGCGGCTGCTCACTCAAGCGACGGCGAGAGCGTCTATCACTCTGAGTAGCATTCTGATTTGAGTCGACAACCTTGGTGGGAGAAGGACGCTCTGGCAACGGCTGGGAGAATGACACTGGAGGCTCCTGTGCCAATGGTTGCAAAACCGGCTCTGAAGGCAATTGTGGGTTTGGCGACGGTGCTGCAACTGGTGAGCCAGGCGCACGGAATCACCAGCAAAAGAGGGGAAAACGATAGGACGAGAAAACATACCTGAAGCTTCAGACGTCCGAGAGGACCGACCAAATCTTGGAAGCAAACGTGAGAAGGAACGAGGCACAGAGTTGATCAGTCCGCGAATGTTCCAACCACTTGCCTGAGGGGTAGAAGGAGGCTCGGCCGTGGGAGACTCATCTGATGGATCCTGATCGTCTGGCTTACTCTCGGTAGATTCGGTGTTCATCTGGAGAGGCTCCAGGCACGGCTGGACGGGAGTTGACTCCGTTGCCCGGCGGTCGGCTTCGTTCTGAGCGAGCAGCTGTGGGAGGCGGAAGACCGTCTTGTGAATGCGGCCTTGGTTCTCGATCGTCCGGCGCCGAAGCCGCTCAGAGTAGGGGGCGGCGTTGTACGTGATCCGCCGGGACAGCGGTGTCATGCGGCGCGCAAAGGGGGTGCTTCCGGGGGGTCCCACGTTCCGTCGCTTGTTGGACGGGGTTTCGGCGCCGTCGTCATGGGGACGTTTTCTGTTCACTTTCCGAGGTATTAGCCTCGTTTCTTCCTTGGCGGGCTCCTTGGCGGGTCCCTGGGCCTCCGCCTGGACTCTCCGACAACCCAACAACTCCAGCAGGTAAGGAGTAGCCGAGAGAGACAACGATGGTGAGTCGACACTCCCTTTGGTGGCACCAACACCCGAGCCAGAGCGGGGGCTCATCACTTCCGACTCCTCTGGAATCGGAGAGAGAGCCACACGCGCCCATCGCGCGGAATCCTTCCTCGCGGAACGGCTAACTTTACGTGACTTGTCAACTTCCGCGGCCGCCGGACGGGATTGCGAAGGGCCCGGGATCAATTCGGACACCTTCGCCGACACCAACCGCCCATCATTAAAGGTGGACGTCGTACCCGACTCAGTCGGGACATCGAAGGTCGTGTCCTGCTGGACTTGACCCGTTGATGCCGGCACAGAGCACAGCAACGGAGTCGCGGATGCTGCCGGCGTGTCGTCGTAGGCTGTATCCGCCAAGCACAATCCAGAGAAACTCTGGATCAGGGCAGCAACCTCGTTGTCAATTGACGACGACACGGCCGCAACAATCGACGGAATCGGGACCTCCTCGTCGCGATCGACAGGGGACAGAGGAGACAGGGAACCTTCGCGAGAAGATTGACCTGAGGAGATCCACGACACGTCGATTGGGGCGGTGTGTTCCTCCATGGCCATGGGGGAATCATCAAGTTCCGAGGAGCACTGACCGCAGACTGACATCGGCGAACGGCAGTATCGCTCTTCCTCGAACTCTATCCCTTCCATGGCCACGAGGAACAACCGCGCAGCGATCGTTGACCCAGTTGAGGCCTCCGTCACGGCAGGTGGCTGGGTGTTGTACTCCTCAGAGGACAACAAGACGACATTTGCATCGGATCCACGATCGTCGGCCATGATGCTGTCCGAGTCATCTCTGGCAGCATTGTGCGCTACAGCCAACATCACTTGCTTGTGGCGGGCGAGGCAGGCATCAATGTTTGCCAGAAGAGACTCTTTGAGCACGAACCCGAGAGGGGGAGAGTCCTCCATCTCGAGGTCCGGTGTGTGAGACCGTTCCGAAAGGGGCGATCCAATGTCACTTATGTCCTCGAGCGGATCCAGATACCAGGTATCTGCAGGCACATCGGAAACATCTTCGACGAAAGTTTTCGACGATTCCGCTCCCTGTGGAGATGGGGCCTCGGGAGAGGGTGCCGCGGCTCGGCTCCTATGCGGGAATTCCGTGTCCGGGGTTGAAGGCGAGGATGGCAGTGAAACATGTGGGAGAGGGGGTGAGGGGGAGAGAGATGGTGAGGAGGCCAGGGCTCAGGGTAAGGCTCAGGAACAACTGCTTCAGGGAAAGGAATGAAGGACAACTCACTGTCCGATGCTTTAGGCTCAGACAAAGCATGTTCACCAATCGAAGGGATGGGCTCGGAGTCCTGGGTTTTGGGAGGTTCCTGTGCGGCGCTCGTTTCATCGACGACGGATTCAGGCGGGGACGCTTGTTCGGCATCGATCGGTTCGGTTTCGTMATCAGACGTTTTCCGATTAGGCTGTCGCGTCGATCGACGAGTCGAGGTCTTCCTGGTTCGAGTCTGAGTCGTCGGAGCTTCCTCTATAGACGCTATTACGCCATTGCCGGTACGTCGACTACGGGAGCGGGAGGTGGTCTGTGTAGAAGGTTCGGCGCTAGATTGTCTGGTGCGTGCCTTTCTGGTGGATCGAGTACTGGACTCTGTTGCAGGCTCAGCACTGGGCTGTCTAAGGCTCGCGTTCCTGGTAGATCGAGTAGCAGGTTGTGATGCAGGTTCAGCACTAGGCTGTCTAAGGCTCGCGCTTCTCGTCGATCGAGCGGTTGGTTGTGATGAAGGTTCGGCACTACCCTGTCTGAGAGTTGCAGTTCTAGTAGATCTCGTCCGACGAGGTTCGGATTCGAGAGCGACGAGACCACCAGGCGAGAGGGGCTGCGAGCGAGTACGCATCTTGACCGTAGACTGCAAAGCAGAACAACAACCAACTGGAAGAACGGCACCAGGCAGTGATATACCGCGACGTGATCTGACACGTGAGATGGA